GCCTAATGCCAGCGTGTGTGGACCTAGCTATCCATCTATCTATCTATGTATCTGTGTATCTGTGTAGCTATGTATCTATCTGTTTGTCTGTCTGTCTACCTACCTATCTATCTATCTATCTATCTACACCCAGAAACGTATGTACATTCGCCAATGGCCGCGGAGAGGGTGGTGGACAGCTTGTCCGCTGATCTTGCGGAGGGGCAGAGGCTTGTCCCAAAGTAGACATGGGAGCTTCCAGAGACTGTCCGAACCCGAAGTCTGACCGGATCGAGACTCCTCGACTCCTAGACACAGGAGACCCCCGAACCTTCAGAAGTAAGGAGCCCCCTTTATATTTGCTCCGAGTGTCGCAAGGTCCGAGACCGAAACTTCCAGGTGACCGAAAGTCTCATGGCCAAGCCATGCAATGCAGTCAAAAGCTCCTTTGGTCCCTTTCAATGAAGGGCTTAGCTCCAGCGGCGTGCCTCCAAATGTCGCCTGCATCTGCGTTGCTATATCGTGCATCCTGTCCAGACTCGTTTTGGAGGCCGCGATGCTTCGGCAAATAGTTCGTCTTTTTGCCAGCACGGCGTTGGCCGTGTTTTCCTGCCCCCTTGCCCTTCTAGCATGCCTGAAGCTAGGTTCGAGTCTGATACTTGCTTAAACCCAAAAGCGGACAACTGGCTCGACGCTCAGACTGGGTCCTTCTAGCCACTTCCTGCAGGACCTTGTGGGCATTATGTTCCGACGTACAATGGGTGAGCGTATGTTGTATTTCTCGATGCAATGCTGCATTTCGTTGTTTGCCAGAGGGGCTGCACTTTTGTGCTCGAGAGGTATTTCAAGAATTGTGGAGATTGGTGTTGATGTGCGTGCGCGCTATGACAATATGACAACCGTTCCTGTTCCAAGCAAAGCTTTTGTCTCCGTGTATCGTAGTCCTCGATGGCAGCAAGGAGGGCCGTGGGCAGATCTGACCGACACTTATCCGGCACCTTCCGGGGGGCAGCGGGTTGTCCCCTACATACATGGGAGCTTCCAGAGACTTGGCCTCCGAACACGAAGATCGACCTTTCGATATGAGTAGAGGTTGTATCCACTCAGCCAGCAATGAGCATTCAGCGCTGACCTTAGGACCCCAGGAAACCTCAGAGGCCCAGAGCGTCGTTCCATAAATGCAGAACTGCTGACCACAGGATCCCCTACCACATTGATGGCCGTAGCGCTGCGTAATTTTGGGGGGCGACGACGCGACGACATGACGTTCCATTCATAAACAATACTACCATAACATAGTATAAAATCTTTAGGGTCGAACGCAACGTAGTATTATGGAGCCCTTCTGTTGTTCCGAGCTCTTCAGAGGCCGAAGCCGAAGGTCGAAGCTCCCAGGTGGCAGAGCGCCGCGAAGCCGTGCCGGAGGAGCATGAAGCACATGGAACCGCATGGCTGCACGTGCTCCTTCGTGCCGCGAGGGATTTGTCGAACATGGGTTTATCCATCGGCCAGCAGTCAAAAAGCCTCTTGCCCCTTCCATGATGGGTCAGAAACTTGGAAGCACCCAGATCGGCGGCCGGGAGAGGCGTCTTTGTCTGTTTTGCTTTCGGACCTGTAGTTCGCCAGATGCTGTTCGCATGTCTAGGCTTATGCCTCCTGCAGCTTCTTTATGTCCTTAGCTGCTTAGCTCTTCTAGCAGAGGCGTTGACCTCAGGCTGTCGGACATTCATTCAGTTCACGAGGCTAGAGTTGAGGGTTTAGGGTTTAGGGTTTCAGTTCAGGGGCTCCGGCAGCAGCAGTTGCAATTTGTTGCTATGTCGGGCAGGATCTGCCGATTCGCCATTTTAATGAGGCTGAGGTCGAGGTGCTGAGCTAGTTATGCTTGAAAATGTCGGGAGATGAGGGCCGTATGTCTACTTATACTTGATTTGCAGGGCCCCCGTCCTATTCTGGAATTACCCCCCGCTTGGCACAGTGGCTTCTTTGCATTCTGACAGCTTCTGTGTCGCTTGGTTCTTGAATCGCAGGGGTAGTTTGATGCTTAGACTACAAATTTTGCTGTCTGCACCGGCTGTTTGCTCACCGCAAGCGCACCTGTCCTTAGAGTCCTTGGACAGAGGTAACTTTGCGGCTCATTTTGTGACTCTGAAGCACAACCTGGGTACTTGCAAGAGAGTCGTTTTGTCATGCCTGTGAGCACGTGTGGGATCGCCTCGTGCGGTGGCCTGTGGAGGCTCATGTTTCAGTAGAGTACGCCGCCTAAGCCCTAAACCCCTAAACCCTAAACCCCTAAACCCTAAAGCCCTAAACCCCTAAGGCCCTAAACCCTATCTCGACAGTCCGGCCGGTGCTCTGTGGCGATGTAGGGCCGAGGCGGCTGGCGTCTATGAGGAGGATCGGAGCTGGGGTCGGACTGGGCATTTGGACGTCGCGGTCTGGGGTGTAAGTGTTTTCCTTCAGTCAACATCTGGATCGTTTGAAGTTTGGGTTGTGTGATTCCTGAAGCACTGAAACCCTAAACCCCTAAACCCCTAAACCTTGAACCCTGAACCTTAAACCCGAAACCCTAAATCCCTAGGAGCCTGCCTTCATGCTAAACGACGCTTTGGCTCGATCAGTGCAGCAAGCCGCGAAGGACCCCACATCCAAATGCATGGGACACATGGGGGTTTCCGAAAATAGGGGACCCTGATATAGCTCCGCAAATAGTAGGATCCCTTTTATAAGGACCCCAAAATAGGTACCCCTTATTTTCGGAAAGTCCAACATGGATCCCATGCCTGTGAGGTACTTCCGTTGGATCCTCATGCGCTCGGGGACAGCCGGAACTTGCCCTTTGTCTATGCGTCGGGGGCCCAAACCTTGGGGCTGTCAAGGTCCGAGAGCTAAAGCTACAAAGATACTTCCAGGCCCAGGGGACTTAGTAAGTGAGTTATAAGTAGAGTTATAAGTACCCTAAATGGAGTTACCTTAATTATAACCCGACTTAAACTCATAACCGAGTTACTTAGTCCCCTGGGCCTCCAAGTATGGATGACGTCGATGACAACTTTCATGATGCTGATGATATCTTCGTGCACAATATGTGCATTCACTCTGCAGGGTAACTAAATGCAAAGCCCCGAACCCTAGTAGGCAATGCTGTATGAGACCTGCTGCACACACATGCATTGAAGGCCGAGCAAAAGATTTTGAAGCTAAATGAACATGGCTTGACACTGCTGAGAACCTTGCAGCCAGCTACGAAATTCCCTCCCTGAATCCCTCCCTCAATCCTTACCCACCTCCGTTCCTTCCTCGATTCTGTTAAAGTTGCGCGCCGACACCGGCGCAGTCACTTTGCTCAGTTGCAGAAGGTTGTAGACTGCAGCGAGAACCACTGGTGCATCGCTGCGTCGTGCTAGAAGAACTTATGCCGCCTTCTGCGCCGTTGGCACGCTACCAGGAGCCGGCCAGCGACGATGGCCGATTCGGGAACACTTACCTTCGCTGGACTCTCCTTCACACCCTGATCGTGATTACATTGTGTTCCATGCCTGTGTGGTTGCATTTTGCCCTTCCAAAACAGGTCGCGTACGTCAATGTAGGTGGAATGGCTTTCTTCAGCGTGATTTGGGTGATGATCGCAGGTAATGCCATTTTAAACTATGTCCGGATGACGAGAAATACGATCCCGGCAAATCTGCCACATTGTGCTGTGGTCGGGTCACAAGAAGAGTGTGGCCGCCGGTTTCGGCACATTGTCATCGTGCCGTGTTACCTTGACCCCATCAATGTACTTTTCGACTGCCTCGGTTCGCTCCTCTCGCAAAGGCACCCAGAGAGCTTGGTCGTCGTTGTGGCTTTTGAGAAGAAGACCCCCGATCTGCAGCAGAAGATCGAGACGGTGAGGACAGCCTTCCAGGGCCGCTTCGGCGAGTTGCTGCTCACGGTGCACACGATTCAGTGGGCCAGGGAGATCCCAGGAGGATGCTCCAACAAGAACTTTGCCTTGCACACTGTCCAGCAACATGTCTCGATGGATCCCAGATATCAGGAGACCTCCTATACGGTTACGACCTGCGATACCGACACCTTGTTTAGCCCGCATTACTTCGAGGTGCTGGAGAAGGCGTACAACGAGGAGAACCCCCCTAGCTCGAGTCGACCGGTGAAGCTTTGCGTTTGGCAAGGTCCCCTGTTTTACAACTGGTGCCCTGAGCTGCAACTGGGCCCCTAAACCCTAAACCCTAACCCCACCCTAAACCCTAAACCCAACCCTCTCAAAGACCCCAAGCCCACTTGAGCCCGCTTAAACCCTAAAACCCTAGCCACTGAAGCCCTAAACCCTAAACCCCCTTAAACCCTAAAGCCCTAAACCCCAAACCCTCTTAAACCCTAAAGCCCAAATCGTGCTTCGCATCGGGCCGAGAGGCGCATGACAAGTGGTTTAGGGTTTTTTTTGGGTTTAGGGGGTTTAGGGTTTAGGGTTTAGGGTTTAGGGGGTTTAGGGTTTAGGGGGTTTAGGGGGTTTAGGTTTAGGGGGGCTTTGACAGTCAGCTAGTTTCTTGAAGCGGATTGGGACGTTCGGGTCTAGTTGAAGTGTCTTTCACCAGGAACTTGGACCAGCGACCCTTCTTCAACCGCATCACGGGCATCATGCGCTCGCTCATGATGCTAGGGGGCCTGATCTCCTTCAACCTGAACCTAGGTCCTTGTTGGATACAATTTTACATTTTTCTATAATAAAACACTAATGAGGATTAAGAATTCATATTTTTAATTGTTATAATAAAGACCCGAATAAGGATTAAGACATTTATATATTTTTAATTATGCTCCCCCAACATCGGAACCCAGGAACCCCATGTCCGTCTTCTCCTATCCCCTGGAGCTGGGCCAGATGGCGGGGTTCATCAACCCAAGGTACCTAGGTGCCCGGGTTTAGGGGTTTTAGGGATTTAGGAGTTTAGGGTTTAGGGTCTAGGCTAGGGTTTAGGGTTTAGGGTTTAGGGGTTAGGGGTTTAGGGGCAGTAGTACCCTTTTGCCCTTTTTAGTTTGGGGTCCCCTTGTTAAAGCCGAATTTTAGGAAAAAGGGTACCCCTATTATTCAGGGGTTTAGGACATTTTTCAGCTGGGCAGTTACCGTTATAGGAGCCTTATAGAAGGTCTATAAACCTTATAGAAGCCTTATAGATTATAGAAGCCCTATATACCCTAAACTTCCCACCTGTAGGGTTCATCAACCCAAGGTACAGCGTGGACGATGCTCGGCAGCCCCTTTCGGAGGTTTTTGCGTCTTTGCCCTTCCGGTGCCGAAGGAGGCTCTTATTTACGAATAATTATGCTTGAAAGGCTTCAAAGGGCCCAGAAACTCCTAAAGCCCCTAAATCCTGAAGACACCCGAAAGAGAAGAGGTCTTAAAGCGCCAGCCTAGAGGAGCATACTGCGAACTTCGGGTTCCTTCTAAAGCAAGTCATACTGTTGATGATATCAATCCTGCATTACCTTAGGGACCCTAAACTATGGGAATGATGGTATATTCCTTATTCTGAGCAATGCAGGAATTATATCATCAACCGTATTACTACTGTGTACGCCCAACCTCTTTAGGGAGGTAGGTTTAGGAGTTTTTGCAAAAGGCTGTAAAGGGTTTAGGATTTAGGGTTCCCTAAACCCAAAACCCTAAACCCAAAACCCTAAACCTAAACCCTAAAATTGCGACCTAGGATATCATCTTCCTGGTTCGTGTGATGTGCAGCGCCCAGCAAGGGATTCCGGTGAAGCTGCTGAGAGCCCCGGTGATCTCGGGGCCTACCATCGGGACCACTTGGTGGGAGGCTGAGCTTCGGGTTTAGGGCCATTAAACCGTAGGTCTGTTTTTTAGGGTTTAGGGTGTAGGGTTTAGGGTGTAGGGTTTAGGGTTTAGGGCCTAGGGTTTCCTAAACCCTAAACCCGAAACTCGAAGTGAAGGAATCTAGTTGAAGTTATCATAGCAGGGATCTTTAGTAAGCAGTGGGGTTTCCCTTATGATATGGGTAGCTTACATCAAGTTCCCTAGCGAAAAACCTGGGAGGAGGTAGATGAGTGGGCAAGGCAGATTCGTCGGTGGATCATCGGATCCTCCGAGAGCTTTCACTACTTCTTGACGCACTATCGTGGCAGGCCCTTCTTCGCGGGGCTCAGGTGGTTCGTGATGTTCTTCGTCTACTATGCCATCCTTCTCTGTTGTGCAGGTCTCTTCACGGCGGCGGCTGCAATTCCGCTCCCTGGTGCCGTCTGGCCGCACCCCTGGCTTCGATACGCTGGAGTTGCTGCGCTGGCGATCCAGTATGTGGTTTTCGGCATCGCCTTTGGTATCGATCGGTGTGCCGTCCGCTACATGACCGTGAAGGAGAACGTGAGTTGCTGTCGCAACTTGCTCCACTGGCTGGTCGCACCGATTGTGCTGCTGGTCTACAGCTTGGTGGCCTTCTATGCCGTGGTGAAGTTCGCATTCCGGAGCAAGAAGGACTCTCTGGTTCTTAGTAGGGAATGGGGGCATGGATTCCTGTGATAGTCCTTTAAGGTCCCCTTTTGTAGTCCCAAGAACCCATTCCTGCATTCCCAACAAAGAGCCAGTCAGAGGATGCAGGGCACGTCATGGCAGCCAAGGAGGGCTTCCAGGCCGTCACAGCCGTCCTCGACCAGGCGCCCAGCGAAAGCACCGAAGCTGAGAGCTTCCACAGCCACTGCGAGCAAGTCGGCCGGCAAAATCCCTTGGACCGGCGGCCGGTCACAGGCTTGAGAACCTGCACAAGGCCACCTTTGAGCTACGCTTCTCTGTCTTACCAGGCAGACCATGAGGGAACCCTGTCCTTCGAAGTCCAGCAGCGTGCCATGTCCTTTCCTCTCCACGGAGGTCCAAACCTGGGCAGTGACGGAGTGAACCGCAGCGAGGGCGAGGGCAACGAGGGCAAAGAGCTGCAAGCCACTGACATGAACGTGTCCGAGGACGGCAAGGTGCTCTGCCACCTTCCAGACAGCTTCTACTTTGGCACCATGAGCTTCCCAACGGCACGGGAGAGCCAGGAGACAGGGACGTCTCCCCCGCGAACGCATCTCTATGGACTGTGACCACGGCAAGCTTCAGGTGCGGAAGTGTTTTAAGCCAACGAGCCACGTGCTGTCACATGCGTGCTGCATCGTTGGCACAGAAGCAGAGTCAAGCAGGCCGCTTCCCGTGGCAGACTGCAGGCAAGATCGCCCGAACACTGAAACAGTGAAATTAGATAAAAAAATGGGAGGGACTCCCACAGCGCCTATGCCTCACCCTGAACCCTAAAACCTTTTCTAAATTGTTTCTCGCCATGTGGATGGCTGTATAGAGCCTCGGCCCGAAGCTTGCTTGGAGATTCGGCCAGGCGACACGAAGCCAGGCAATGCCAGGCATACGGGTCCATCCCACGGAAGCTCCGCCACCGCGCATGAGAAAAAGCCAGCCGAAAGCTCTCACTGCAAGCTCCCATGGCATCTTGCCATCTTGTGGACGCGACTCTAAGTTCACGATAGTCTGAAATCCAAGGTTCGTTTCTGTTGCACTGCTACAGAAGCAAACCCTAAACCCTAAACCCCTAAACCCCCAAACCCCTAAACCCCTAAACCCCCTAAACCCCCTAAACCCCCTAAGCACTCTCAAAGGAACTCCTCAAGGACCCTCCATCCGTAGAAGTCTGGTCTCAGGCAACTTCCTGCCTGCGCAGCCTGTGGGGGACTTACCGCGCAGTCGGTGGTAGTCCAAGAGCCCAATGCCCCTGACCACTGACTTCTACGGCTGTTTGGTCGGATTTTTCTGGAATGTTGGGGGTATTGGGCTGTCTGAGTATTGTCTCGCTGCGAAAGAACTGACAGCTCTTGCAGAAGAAAGGAAGCCATTGCCAAAGCCGTTGCAGAGTTGGGCTCCGGGCTGACTGTTGAGTAACTTAAACGGCTAAACTTAACATCATGATACTCCCCGAAAACCCAAACCGGTTTATTGTCCGGATTTCTGGCATGAAAGGGTTGGCTCCGAGATTGCAGTCCTGCGAGTCTGTTTGCAACAACCCCCAAGTCCTGTCAGCTCTAAGTATTCGGTGTATTAGGGTCTAAGGTTTAGGGTTTAGGGCTTAGGGTTTGGAGTTTAGGGTTTAGGGGTTAGGGTTTTGAGCTAAGATCCGAAACTGCGAGCAGACAGCAAGCCGTTCAGTGTCAAAATTGCACGTTTCGCCACACTTCTCGGGTCAGCCAGGGGCGTCAAGGCTAGAGTGGGATGCCCCATACCATCGCTGCAAAAGCACTGCTTTTGTTTGGACTTTCGCTCAGAACGGCGTGAAGGGCTCCAGCTAAACAGCAGTCCCCCCCGGGTTCGTTTCGCCGTCGCAGCCATCCGAGCATGGCTGTGAAGCAGGTCCGTATCTAATTCCTCAAGATCGTTTGGGGTTTGCGGCTTTCGGGTTTCAAGGTGTCGTTTGGAAGTAGGACAGGATGTGCATTCTGCCCATCATGCATGAATTGGAAGCGAGTTTGTTCGTAGCTTCAGGTATTTCACTGCCCTTCAAATCCCGCAACCCAGGCTCCGGTTGAATGCTGGACCTTCGCTTTCCCTTGCATTTGCAAGCCTTGCAGGTTTATTACAGACGCACGAGCAACGAGCCGTCAAGACCTCAAGCCCCAACCCGCGATACAGCAACCGTACATCCGGAAACTCCGAGATTCCGAAACCCTGAACCCTAAACCTTAAACTCCGAGGTCCCGAAACCCTAAACTCTAAACCTTAAACTCCGAGATACTGAAAGCACATCCGAATCCTGAGCACGGGTGCAGGTGCATGGCTGCGAGTCCGCCCCAGCCTGGGCATCGAGGCCGCAACCACCGGTGACCAGAAGTTTCTACAGCCAGCGTTTGGGGTTCAGGGTTTAGAGTTTAGGGAGTTTAGGGTTTAGGGTTTCTCAAGGTTTGCGTGTTTAAATGAGTAAGAGCTCTCGTTGAGGAACTTCTTGTTGCTACCAAACGAGGGCTATGGCAAGCAATAGGTGCTCCTAACATGTCAACTTATTTTTTCGGTCCTCCAGATCTTGAGAAGGCGGAGAGACACCCGATATGACCAGAGCTAGGATCGTAAACACATGTAGCGATGGTACCGTAGCCATCCTGGCAGCCATCGCAGCGGCAACGATCACAACAATGCTGCTAGTCGATAGTCATGATGACCATCAGCTTGATGATAGCAGGAAGCCAGCAATGGTAGAGAAACGGTAGCAGTAAGGATGTTGGTCATGGTCATTGTAACCGAAAACCCTTGCAGCCCAAAGCCCAAGGAGAAATTATCTTGCTGTACTCCCGGCCTCGCAGGATGCAGGCGTTGTTGCTCCAGGTCCAGGAGGAGCACGACCGTCAGCAGCCGCTGTCCCGGACCGTCGGTTGTGATTTTGGGGTCATGTTGATTCTGATGATGATGCTGGTGATGACGGCGGCACCGTGCACTAGCCAAGTAGAACGATGATTTTATAGGCGCAGCTACGTCAAGGAGGCTAGCACACCGTCTCAAGTCTTCTTGAAATAGGAGCCAATCATCAGTAGTGTTTTTCCCATGTAGGTCATATATAGTTAAATTGTGATGTACACCCAAAACCTGCTGGAATTGTTCAGGCCCCTAGCCCTAGACCCTGTGCGCCCTTAAACAAGAACCTTATTTAAAACCACATTTGGGTAGTTCTATAAATTAGGGTCCTTTTTGGTCCCCAATACAGTACGGCACCCTTATGAAAAGGACCCTAAAAGGGACCCTAATTTAAAACAACATGTCAGGTCCTCTCTGCACCGTGGAACCCTAAACCGTAAACCCTAAACCCTAAACCCTATAAACCCTTGCATAAAACCCTTGAATTTCAGGTCCTCTCTGCGCCGTGGAGTTGCACGGCTGCGCAGTGAGCTGTGCAAGCGCGGCGATGGCAAGAAGCCGGGATCCCAAGGGGGGTTTGGGGCTTTTTGGGGGCTTAGGGCTTCGGGTTCAGGGTTTAGGGTTTGGGGCTTTTCCGGGTTTTGGGCTTCGGGTTTAGGGGTTTAGGGCTCAGGGAGGCGCCGGGCTTAGTTGTTACTACTCTGGGACTGTGCAAGGCAGCCGCAAACGCAACAAGTCATGACGCCAGTCATACCAAACGTGTTTTGAAGAAACAACGGTCAAAACGCGATCCTTTAACCTCGCACGCTTGCGCGCTGAGGTTTTCTGTGCGACGATGAGCATTGTCGAGAGACATCATGCCACAGGCACGTCGCGATTGCAATTATCTGTGCCAGCTTGATTTCTATCTTTCCCTCAGCTTAGAGATGAACGCCGTGGTTGGGAGCACGGCTACGTTTGAAGTACTTCTTGGTTGGCTGAGGTCGGCACGAGTGGCTGACGAGCACCACACCCGACGTTCGCTGCATCAGTGAGCGGAAGCTGGGACTTTGAAGGTTTCATGCAGTTGGAGCGGCCGCACCTGCGGGCAGTGGCAACTCGACACCCCTTCTCGCGGTTCGCGAATCCCGCCCGCGGCAACCACTGCTCCTAGCCATTCCATTCCGTTCCATTCCTTTCCGCCCCCCGATGTTAATTAAGTGCTTGTCTATCTTCACGAGCCTTCGGTGCCCCGTTTGTACGAAGGCTTCCTGTTGCGTTGCTGTTCGTGCAGGCAGCCTCGGTCAGGAATGCAATGTTTCGTAGAGGCCGTTTGAGCTTGGTAAGTCCGTGTTTGCAGCGATGCCGCGCCTGAGCTTTCGCATTCGCAGCTTTGTAGCGATCACCACTCGCTGGCTGCGGATTCCACGTGCCATTCAGACCCCTTTGAGAAACCGAAGTCGTGCACCAAAGTTGAGATCTTGCCTTTCAGTGCCAGCCCCATGTGCGCGCAGGATTGGACCACGCGTTTGCGGAATACAACCCCGGCCGCGCTTCCTTGCTTCTCGCATGCTTCGAGCTTCTGCCAAGAAGGCCTTGGCTTCTCTCTTTGTGGGGTTTGGGGTTTAGGGATGAGGGTGTCGGGTCCCCTGAGCTAAATCACACTCGAGGTCGCAAGCTCTGGAGCTTCCAGGATGCCCTAAACCCCAACTCCAAGACCGCAGCTAGGATCTCCAGGTGACATGAGCGGCAGCAATTAGCAAAATTGCATGTCCAGCGCTATGATTAGGAGTCAAGCGAAGAGAGCGCGGTCGAGATCCTTGACGGGGCGCAAGAGCAGGAAAAGGAGCGCTAACTTCAAAAGACCATCCCGTGCACAGCAGCTATGGGTTTAGGGTTTCGGGTTTGGGGTTTAGGGTTTAGTGCACAGCGGTTGAAATGGTCTCGGAACCCAGCTTCCCTACTTCGCCCGAAGCCATCCCTCGGCTATCCCGGAATATCGAGAACATCGGAGTACACATCCATTCAGCTTGCCGCCGTGGCGGAGCAGATGCCCGTCACTCGACCGTTTTCCTGCCAAATCCTGTGGCTGGAGTCTTTGTGCTTTCGCAGTTTCGCAGCCCTTTCTGCCGGCCGATGTTCAAGCGAATATCTAGTGGATCTCGCACAGGTCGAACATGCGTCTTGGCGCTCCCCAGGCTCTCAGAACAATCCTCGTCGAGCAGTCGGCTCCGACGTGGGAAGCTTTCTCCTGCAGTCAGACACGCTATCTAGGCTATACGGCCCAAGCACCTCCTGCGTGTTGAGAGTTTGGAGAGGTGTGGAAATCCTTAAACCTGCAACATTAAAGCCTAAACCCAAGACCCTCGAGCTCTTTCAGGGCCTTTCGTTTCCCGCCTTTTTGCTGTGTGCAGACGAGTCTGCCAGGCCTTGCTCTCGACCCGATCGGGCGCCATGACAATGACGTCTATACAACTCGGAGTGGAAAAGCGAAAAGCAAAGTTCGCGTCAGCAAAGCGAGCCAAGATTCGAGGCGATTCAAGACGCATTCTCACTAGGTCATTGAAATCATGACAAGGATCATACGATCGAAGGTCCCTCTTGAAAGAGATCGCAGGATAGCTCGATCCTTCCCTTCGGAATAGTGCTGCGTCTTTTTCCGAAGAGCGAAGCGCCTCGAACGCTGGTGGTTCCCATCGCACTTCACCGGACTTGCTGC